AATACTGTTTTGACTGAACCTCAGAACTGCGTCATTTAGATAAACTCTCTAGTCGCACATGATACTGTCCCCATTACACACTCGTTTTGAATGATGTTCAGATTTTGGTGAAGAATCACATGCGTTTCCGTACGGTTTTTTTCGCCTGTCGCTTTCTCATTTAGCACCTAAAGCGATAAAATGAAGAACTAGAGTCATTAATATAATATTGGTTTACTTTGGTTATAAGAACTGCGAAATGGTCTAGCCATTGGCGGGTAACTTTTGTTGGTAATTCATTGTAAGGTCAGAGCTTCCACTTGAGGGCATCTTTGGTGAATTTTCGCAGTCAAATGGTATCTTTAATTGCCTCGACCGGATTGATTTATATCGGCCTACATCAATTAGGAGAAGGTTAAAAGCGACTGTCACGTGCTTGGTTGCTCTATTATTTCATTGACTCTCTGAGTACTTCTGGCTTTTCTAAGATAGGTCCCGATTCTTTTGCCCCAGGTAGTTCGGGGGATGTTCGAAAGCAGGTTAACCAACATCCACTGAGAAATCAAATACGAGCATTTTATCCCTGCAATCTATCGCGAGTGATGGGTTATCGCGTTTTTATATCCTCACCTGCACTGCATTGAACATTTGCCATGTAGGGCTTTCTTAAGCCTTCAAACGTTTCCGGCTTTTTTATATATGCCTTTGGTAAGTCCATCCTCGTAAAGTAAGCTTTATTGTTGCAGAGAGCCGAGAGCAATTGTGCTTCACGAAGTACGATGAACAGGTCAGACACTGCCCTAGCTATCGCTTCACAACTGTTAGCCAGAAAACTTCAAAAATAAAGAAGTGAAATCCGAAGTCACAACTTTTCGACTGCCGCGGTCGTCAATTTCAGGCTTTTGCAACAGATTGATAAATAGCTTTAAAATGATGAAATTACAAATGTAAGATTCATTTTAGCGTAATATACATGGAGTATATTGGCTCCTATGAGAGAGCGGGCTATGAAGATCAGGAGGTGCGGGCCTATACTTTCCTTCAGTAAGCCTCTCAGTTTAGTGGAAGGAGGGAACCCATTTTCGGCAAACGTATCATTGAAACCGAAAACAACATGCAGAATGCTATCGGAATACAAGCCGAAAGGTTCGAGTAAATGAAAATGAAATTGGTACAATGCAACAGAGTGAAGCAATTTTTCGTCAAAAAGGTGATGGGAATATTAGTAATTACTTTTCAAAGAGAGAGGATGGAAGACTTTTTTATTTTTAATTCAGATTCAACTATGATTTTAAAAAAGTTGCTAGATGACCGCGGATAATATACACTATACATAAGCACGTTTACTTCTCTTCAGAAGTCAGTTCGGCTCACGATGGCTCACACTCACAGTCAAACTGACAACGGAAATTTTTTGATGAAGCCTTATTTTCTTCTCTGTAGGTGAACGATTTGCTCGCAAAACACAGATAAAACTCACGTTGGCATTTTATCTCAAACAGCTGGAAACCCGTTAACCTCCACCAAGTTTAACTCTCCCGATATTCAGTGGTTCTGTTTTAGTGGATCGTGGTATCTACATGGTGAAAGTTGGGCTTTCCGCGAAGAGTAAAATAGCTCAAATAGACTAGATCCCAGCCATGCGGTCCGCTGTAACAAATAAGATCTGTGCAGGCACGTGCAGTAAATGACATTTATTTGTCACTCGACAGTCTCTGTCTCCAAGTCCTATCATGACTGCGTCGGTCAGCGAAGACAACAGATAAAATGATCCTGGCGGTTGAGCATGTTAGATCACCATGGCCGAAAGCTGCACAGCTAAGTAAAATGTGCGCAGATGATACTCAGAGTGCGCATTATGCAGAAACACTTTCATAGCCGCATGCCGAACATCATTTGTCCCTAGCTAGTACAAAATTCCAGCACAAAAGCTAACATTGTGCCACCAAGAGACCATTATTCGGAAAACCGATTTCTTCCCTTCCTTCTAGAGTACGAAGTTTGATCCTGATTATGCCATTGTGAGGACTCAGTTTGCACTTCGCTTTCAGTCAGAATTACGCTTTCCAAAACAGAGTAACTGGATTCGTCGGCCAGAAGGTTACTAGAAACGCACGTTCATGAAGAGGAGGATAATTGCCCAGTGGTTGGATGAAAGCCAGTGGAAGGTCCTATGCTCTTATCTTTTTGAACCACCTGTCCACTCAGTCTGACTCAGTCAAATAAGCAGTGGATTTTGTCCAGAATAGCGGATCTTAATCCTATCAGAGAAACTAAGCCATCACCTGACGAGTGCAATGTCGCTGAAGGATTCCTTAAGTGCCGGGCATTCAATAGCCGAAGGGAAAACATGAAGCTGATGGTCTATGATGGTCAGGAAGTGAGAGGGTTTTTCCTGCGGGAAGAACCCATGATCACTTTAAGCTGGACGAAAAAGCCAAAAATGGACCCCTGCGTCACGAGATGTTGAACTACGGAATGGCGGATCACTCGCAAAATCGCTGTCCTGTGTGATGAGCTGAGCATTTCAAACACCACCTCAACTGGCAGCATTTTACATCAGCGCCCCGCGCGCCTGAATGACGCATCAAAAGCAAGCAGTCGCCAACAGCCGTAATTGAGCATAAACTCTGATTACTTTAGAGAGACAAGGTACTTGGCACGAGTGGTCTGGAACCCATACATTTTGAAGAGGATTGTGAAGCCGCATTGCCAAACCTGACAGACCTATGGAGCTATGGTAATCCTTCTGACCATTGTACATTAGTACTTTCTTTGTAACTTATCATTACTCAAATTGTACCACTTTCTATCTCTTACTAAATCTCAGCTTATTCCTTTTCTCTTTATACCGAATAACTTTTGTTTAAATGAAGGCAAAGAAATATAGATGAATACAGACAATACAAGTTCTGTACTTCTTGAAAGGCGTGTTCTTTTCTTGCTGTATCGAGTTACGCTGTCAGTGAATTAACGAGCGGAGATCTACCTTTCAGACTATGGCGGGATAGAAGGTATCTAGGAACATATTAAGGAAGATTCCAGGAAGGAGATCGATTTGGATTTATTGTGGTGTTAATAACCAACTGTACCAACGAACTGTGAGTTGTGTTATCTCGCCTATTTTTGCGCACTTGATTTAATTACTTTGAACTGGTATTTGCTAGCGTTATCCACTACAGAGCCTGGCGCCCAACGTGGGTCAACTCATCAGGGGACCTAGGAATTTGAAAGCGTAAGATCTAATTAATCGAGTGACGGGATGAACCAGTAAGGAGTGAATGCTTGTGGAGCGATCTCCTCGATTTCAAAGAGATTACTGTGCAAAATCTTACCGTAGTCATTCAGTGGAAATAGTGTAACGATCACGCAAGATGTTGCGCAGCCATTAGGGTAGGAATGTCAGGTCGCTGAGGTCCTCACTCCCTATACATAGTGCAAGTACTTCGGCGCCATTTCTGATTTGCGTAGCTTGTGCCAGACTTATTCACTTTGTGGTAGTCGACAAATTTCCCCCTTCTCTTTTAATATCCTCTACTGTCCTACTGTTCTCTACTTCGGATCGCAGAGGGGAGTTTCTCTCCAGGGAAGGGGATGAATGTTTCGCATGGCTGTGCAAACTTCTACAGAAGAAGCTACCCCTGGATGACATCCGGCCGCCTGAGTGTAATTTTTGTTAGTCCTGGTGATTTCCCGGAATAAGAAGCTTCATGAAAACTAGCCGGCAGGAAGCGACCGGAACCCATTACCTGGTTCCACCTATCCGTCAAGCTCCTCGGAGAAGCCTTACACGCGAGGCAGGTGTCACCTGCCCTGGGGGTACAAACGGTAAATAATACTGCTTCAGGGATTCACGGATTGATACACATGATCGAGGCTTTTGCCCAAGTTTTCCGGGTCGGCTTCGTTCTTAACGTTCAGCGGCTGTCGTTCACCTGAAAGGCTGAAGTGAAAAAAGGTGTAACACCGCTCTTTATGTTCTCAGTGCAGTGCCGTATGTTTGCCAGTGCGAGAATTCGCGTAATTAAATGTCTAGTAGTGCTTTGAACTGGGTTTTAGAAAGAGCGTGGACAACCGTCGGAGGAATATTATTCCACGCAGCTACTACCCGAAACGAGACCAAACTTTGCCTAATGAAATGTACCCTCTGAGCTTCAAATGCTTTTTATCATGTCTCCACAGTGTTTTCTGGGTTAACGGTTAAATTATGATGGATATAACTTGTTTAATCGTGGAATAAGTGAGGATTAGGTCTCCTCGAGAGCCATGATACTCAAGAAGAAAGGGGTCACCAGAGAAGTTGCGCCGAATCATTCGTGGGGCGGCGATTTCTCATGGTGCTGTGGGAGAGACGTGTTTGAAGAGAGCCAGATACCTCGTTGGTTTTTAATATCTATCCTTGTGGTATTTCATTCCATCCTCGCCATACACGGCAACGCATACTCCTCCGAACGAGACATTTCGTCATTCAGGGAAATGCTCCAGCCCAAAAACCACTAATTTGCAGGGTCCACTGCTATCTGGAGTGCCTTGGCATTTGAATTTCGGGATCTCAAGTTGTCTGCAAAAAGAAGACATTGGCACAAGAGAACATCCGAGGGGCAGCTGACGTAAATCAGCAACAGAACTGGGCCCAATCGAGACCGGAGCAGGAGAAGGGTAGGTCGAGCCTAATTTCACACACAATGACAGAGACACCCCAATGCAGAGGAGTGCTTGTTGGCTGTGGTTCTTAGTCACGTGGTCTATCGGCTCCGATAACTGGGTATACTCTCCGAAGGTAAGAACTCATAATCACCTGAATCTGTGAATCATGAGCTCCGTAGTTTAGCTGGTCAACCAATCATATTGCTCGGGTTCCGCCTCCTGCCAGCGCCGTGATTCTAGTTCTTTGCTGACAGCTGTGTGTCCTTCGTCGTGATCGAACTCCCTCGCTCGGTTCTCTTCCAGTTATCCGGATTTTGAATAACATTAACATGAAAAAGAAGGTTAGGCATTCTTGTTACGTTTATTTTCCATAGGTTCTACTCATGGGGAAATCGGGATCCGGGAAAACAAGCATGCGAAGCATAATTTTTGCGAATTACATTGCGCGTGACACCCTCAGACTTGGACCAACCAGTAAGTAATTGCTCGATCCATTGAGGTTAATATGTTAGTGGATGTTGAACACACACATATGCGGATACTCAGTGGTCTTGTATTGAATCTCTGGGATTGTGGAGGGTAATCTACACCGTTCAAGTTAACACCACACTAGTCAGGATGGTTTCATGGAAAGCTACTTTGTCAATCAGCGTGAAACCATTTTTCGGAACGTTGAGGTGCTGATCTATGTGTTTGACATAGATAACTATGAAGTGGCCAAAGATCTAAACTATTACCGGTCTTGCCTGGAAGCTGTCAACCAGAATTCCCCTGGTGCGAGAATCTTTTGCCTCATACACAAGATGGACCTGGTTCCAGAAAACAAACAACAGGAGGTAAGTCGTCATATTTTCATAATTCATTCATTTATAACTCATAATGTGTTTATACAAGTACGACTCTAGTTATTCGGTGCGAGATAATTGTCCAAGCTATCAGTGTTAAATAGATCAGTGTTTTTCCGCAATCAGAGCGGATACACTTCCCTTGTAAGACTAGTTTGTCAGACCTGGTTAATCATTAACCCCCAAGCTTTTGGCGTCAATCGACAGTGTTTATTGGACGAATCGTGGAAGTGAACGTCATGCATAATCCTCAGCTGCATCCTAGGACTATTAGTGACGAAAGAAAGAAAAAGAAAGCGTTCAGCTGTAGCACCCTCCCTGCGCCTAGCTTCCATACCACCCGAAGGAAGCACGAGGGCTGGGATACTGCCAGGTTGCCCAAGCCTGGACAGGGGAAGTCAAGAGGCGTAGGTCGGTTTCGAACCGCGGACCTTCCGGTCAGTAAATTCGCGCTCTAACCACTTGGGCCATCTCGCTCCCTATTAGTGACGAAACTTTAGTGTATGCTCTTGTTAATTTGTTAATTTCTTGTCAAACTTGGGTTCAAAAGCCCCATCAAACGAGCGGTCTTTATAAGATCTAGGTTGGTATAATGCCAGGGCATTCTTACCGACTAAATCTGAAAATCTGCAATCACTTACTTTCAAATGCGCATAAGTCAGACCTAGTCAATAACACGCGAGGTGACCGCACCCCAACCTTGTATACAACAATGCAGTTTTTATTCGCCGTTCGAGCATCACTGGTCATACAGAAGACTAAGTAGATGATGGGAAAAGCTAGTTACGGACACTCCGATTCAGGCCCAGTGATTACTTCCTTGACGCTCATCTCTACAGTGAAACTTGTCACTGTCAACAGATTTGAAACATTGAACGGTAGGTATAAGCCATGACCTTAGTCCTTGACAGTGTTAGAAGTGGAAAGCGGATGTGGCATGCGTTGGTGGCTCTCTTCAGTTACGGTGTACTGTAGTAAGACGACTATTCATGTGCCCCAGCACTTGGTTTGACCGCTTTGCTCGTCTTGCGTCATCCCCGGCTACAGCTGCGTGTATGCCTTCAGTAAAAACTCCAATAACATAGAATTCAGTTTCCTTACAATGAAAGCCGTTTTATGTAGATGCCCTTAATCTTTGTACAGTGAAGCAGGTGGGACAATAAGTGCCTGTTGCTCGTACACTGGATTCCCTCCGCATCGTTGTCTGTTGTCTGTTAGAAACAAGAACCCAGGACAAGTAAATTAAGTGACAGCCCCCCTCACTTTCTCCCCGCCTCCAGCTCTGTGCCTCGGGGGCTGCTGCGCCTGGATATGCCTATGTAGGTACTGTGTTCAGCCATCGAGTCAATCGCCGTTCAGCTGTAGCACCCTTTCGGTGACTATCTGCCATGCCACCCGAAGGAAGTGCGAGAGCCGAGATGCTGGCAGGTTGCTCAAGCTTAGACAGGATAAGCCGAGGGGCAGGGGTTGGATTTGAATCAGTTAATAGTAGTCTTCGCGCGGTTGGTTTGCCAGCATTTGTGAGTCAAGAAAATGAAGTCCACCACCTCCATCGGTCCCTAATAAGAGCCTCAACTGAATTCTAGCTGTATCTCGCTCGCGATATTCCTTAACTACACAAGGGCTGTCTCGAGTTTTAGTTGGCACGCTTTTCGGGATATCGCGGTGTATTCTCTTGGAGATGCGACACACTACCTATTAGACTGATGAAAACACAGACAGCGCACAATCGGTTTCACCCTTCCCGAGGCTCATCAGACAGGCGCAGTTATAATCTTTCTCGGTACTTGAGTCTCCGGCAAACGCATCTCCAGCATGTCCGTATTTATGGAAGCAGCG